AGGCTTTCTGTGGGTCGTAAAAACATCTAAATTTGTCCTTTCACAGATTAAGGCCTAAAAAGGTCTTAAATCAGAGCAGAAATTCATAAAGTCAAGGCATTAAATGTTGCACACACTGCAAAAAAAAAGCTTTTGTCTTGTCGTCCTTCATCATAGGGGGCGAGGCTTAAAGTCAAAGGTCACAGCAGAACATAAACACAAACACAACGAGCCTCAATTCATCCAGAGACACCTGATGATGATGATTCTACATGATCTTCATCCTGGAGAAACTCAAACATCTGCAGATCAGTGTGTGTGAGGAGAGTGGCGCTGATGCATGATGGGTAATGTGTGCACACCGCTGGATCATCTCAGTATCTCTGATTGTTCATCTAACAGGCCTTGCATCTTCTGAGCTGCTCAAACACAATGAAGAGAAACACTGAGATCATGACCTCATTCACTCCGAGCCTTCTTCATCTGTTCCAGTCACGACATCATCATCATCATCATCATATTAACCCTATTAAGCTACTACATTATATTTTATACACAAATTTACTCTAAATGATCAATCTTTGCTGTTAAACCTGTTTCACACTCGATCTCCTCTTGAGCTGTTTTTTTTCTCCATATTCTCACTGTATCAGACTATATGAGCCTAATGTTCAAATATGAAAAAAACTAAAACATTCTTTTAAATAATTAGATTTTTTTGAGATTATTTCATTTGTCAGGCTTTACAGGGTTAAACATGAGCTGATGGTGAGCATTATATGCAGATGGAAGATCATGAAGCTTCATAAAGTCCATCTGTAGAAGAATGAAGAACTAAATGAATCATTTCATAACCGTGAGTCAGTCAGCGGAGGACTAAAGTTAGGTTGTCTTCATGTCTATATTTAGTTGCCTAGCAACATCTTTCACCCATATCCATGGGATACACACAAACAGCTGAAACACATCAGTCAGAATATAATATCAATATCATCAAATACTGCTGGAATAATGACTGTAAACGCCAAGACATCATACTTTAGTTAAATCATCACAGCACACGGACACAAGCTTCTGAAATGGTATGTTTAAATATGCAAATGAGGCATTAATCTAAATAAACATGCACTAATTTGCATACATTTCCAGAACATAAATCTGAAGATTGGGTGAAGCCAGGTTCATAATTCTAGTTTGATTTTATTGTCATATTAGAGTTAAATTTCTCTGTTTACCACTCCATAAATCAGAAAATACTGTCAACAGACAGAAAACAAACACATTTTCACCATGTTTTCAGGAGTAAAATGTTGTATAAATCAGTGCGAATGAACTGGGTGAAGCCAGGTTCTTAATTCTAGTTTGATTTTATTGTCATATTAGAGTTAAATTTCTCTGTTTACCACTCCATAAATCAGAAAATACTGTCAACAGACGGAAAACAAACACATTTTCACCATGTTTTCAGGAGTAAAATGTTGTATAAATCAGTGCGAATGAACCTTCAGAATATAAAGAGGAATAAAACTGTAAGGTTTGGTGTTTGTAAGAGAAAAACACTCTTTAAAGATTGAAATCTACAGACGCAAATAGATAAAATAAACACTTAGTGTGTAGTCTGAAAGAAGACAGACTGAAACTGACCAGTGCCTGCAGTGTCTCACCTTGAGGGCATTTTAAGGTGTTTAAAGGGCGTCTCGGCGTGTGCCAGAACACGTCAACCTGAGTAGGGCGTGTAACATGTTAACACCACTAACCAACCCACAGCGACTAGACTAGCATCTGTGAAGAAACGCAGCAGGACACCAGATTTGATTTCCTTGCCATTTATTAAAGTCGATGTGCAACTGCATGACGTCACATTGTTTTGAAGGAAACATGCACATACTGTGAGGTCAAAGGTCACTGACGGGTGACCAGAGCCACGGACTGTAAGGCAAAATAACTTAATCAGAGCAGAACTCGCTCACAGGAAGTCCGTCCTCATCGTGAGCCTGAAACCTGATGCACAGTCCACCGTTATTTTTACACATGACACGGAGGTCAAGGGTTCAGGGGTCAAAGGTCACGCTCGTCCTCGTGGCGGTGCTCGTGTGGTCTGATTCACACGTGTCGACTACAAAGTGCAAAGGAACAAAACTAAAAGCCAAACCGATAAAACCAGTAACAAAACCAGCAGAGCGACTGGAAACACCGTATAAACACAAGTTGAATGTGGCAACGACAGCATGATTCCCGCCACTGACACGCATGCACACGTGAAGCTCAGGAGGTCACGCGTGTCCGTCAGGGTCAGTACTGATTGTCTGAGGCGGGTGATGTTTGATAAGCAGTGTCTGAGACGACCGACTGTGGAGTCCGTTCACAGTATAGTCTCGAGAGGTAGTCAGGCGGTGGGTCCGGGGCCCTCCGGCGGGGCCCCTGCGGTGGGAGATCCGGTCTGGACCTGCGCCTGGAACTGCGCCAGCTGCTCTGGACTGGCCAGGTTCTTCAGCAGAGAGTTCTCCTGCTCCAGCTGAGAGTTCCTCTCCATCAGCTCCTTGATCTGCTCCTTCAGCACCTCCACCTCCTCACGCACCGCGAACATCAGGTGACTCTTCACCAGGTCCTGCGCATTACAGTGAGACACAAGAGCTTAACACACACACACGTTTGGATGATGTTTTCTGCTGCATTCATTTGATCAAAACACAGTAAAAACAGGGAAATATTATTATAATGTCTGTTAAACTGTAATGCATTTCTCTTGAATTTTCAGCATCATTACTCCAGTCTTCAGTGTCACATGATCTTCAGAAATCATTATAATATGTGACCCTGGAGCATAAAACCAGTCATAAGGGTCAATTTTTAGAAATTGAGATTTATGCATCATCTGAAAGCTGAAAGCTTTGGCTGAGATACAACTATTTGAAAATCTGGAATCTGAGGGTGCAAAAAAATCTAAATATTGAGAAAATCATCTTTAAAGTTGTTCAAATGAAGTTCTTAGCAATGCATATTACTAATCAAAAATTAAGTTTTGATATATTTACGGTAGGAAATTTACAAAATATCTTCACAGAACATGATCTTTACTTAATATCCTAAAGCAAAAAGCCCCAAGAAGTGAATTTATAACAGCTAAGGGGCGTTGTTAGGCACGACGCGAAA